AGTTAGAATGAGAGTAGACATAATGTGAATAGTGATTAGTTTGAAGTAATTTACATGCAATGGCACGTGATGATAAACAGATCTTTAATTAGTTATATCACACTTTATTATGTAAGCTTTGTTTTTTGTTAACTACAGACCTGCTCAATGTGCTATCTGCATTGTATCCACCGCGAGTATGAAGCCCGAATTTTTTGTGTTGAAAATCAACGATTTTAACGCTGAATGTCCCCCCCCCCAGTGGCACAGCGATATGTCTGCGGACTTACAACTATAGAAATCCGGCTTCGATACCCGTGGCGGGCAAAGCAGAGATAGCCCATTGTGCAGCTTTGCGCTAACTACAAACAAACAGTTTAACGCTGAATCACCAACGGGCATCATTTGTTTTGTTTCTTTGTTTGTTCTCGAAGGTTATCTGAAGGAAGGCAGTTAGTCAACACCACCCACTGCCTACTCTTTATCAAGGAATAGTAGGATTGACCGAAATATTATAATGCCCCCACGGCTCAAAGCGCGAGCATGTTCGGTGACGGGTTTCTGATCCTGCAACCTGCATATTGCAAGACGATCGCCATAATTACAGGCCACGTCAAGTCACGGACGTCATAACTTAAGAACCATAGCCAAGCAATAAATCGCTGAGCTCAAACTTATAACAAGTTTGTGAATTAGTTGAAAGCCTTTTACAGTTTTTGCCACTGGTCAAAGTGACCAAGATGGCTTTAAAAACAAAGCATAAGAAACTTGGACAATAAACTAAGAAGAAAGAAACAGTAGGTGGTGCTTCGATAGATCGTGGCTAAATTGGTGTGAATAGCACTGAAACAGCTCCAGTAGTTAGGAACTATAGCAAGAATACTAAAAAAAAAGGTGAGAGATTACGCGGCCCATTCCAGTAAAACTTCTACACTATATGTACATATATAAAACTAAGAAATTCCCAGCTCGAGGGCCTCGATTATTTTGATCCTTATCACACAGCCCCCCCCCCCCCCAGTGGCACAGTGGTATGTCTGCGGACTTACAACGCTAGAAACCGAGTTTCGATACCCGTTGTGGGCAGAGCACTGATAGCCAATTGTGTAGCTTTGTGCTTAATTACAGGCAAACAAACCTTATCACACGGTACTATTAAGCATTATTTATGTTTGACGTCGGTTTCACGTATTTTGTTACCACCCCCTCGCTCACTTCACTTCTCATTCACGGCATTAATAAGATAGTCAAATTAGATTGGCTTCCAAACCAAACCCTCCACCTGACTGCCCGATCTCTTGAGAAGTCTACCTGAGCTCTCTACCAAATGTTATTGATATTGGTTCAGCCATTTCATCACAACAGCTTGTAACAAGAGAAGACAGTCAGACGAACAAGTCTTATATATATAATCTCAGTATAATAACACGTAGATAAAACAAAAGGACACAGGGTGTAAGCTAGAGTAACATCAGGATTCTTGCTCTCGTTATATCTATTTTTATTGTATTATTGCAACAATAATTTTTTTGTTCTTAACTCGGGCTGTTGTACGTGCACTTAAGACTCTCATGTATCAGTTGATGAATTGATAATAAGTTAAACATTCATGTGGTTTTTGAATAAAGAAAAAAAGCGTCGTAGATGTTTTTATCTTCGCTATAAACAAAGTAAGACTTCATGACTAAAGTAAAACGAACATTATAGAGAGATACTCAGTCAAATACTGTTCAAGTAACTTTAGACAGATTGCTAGGTAGCGAATGTCTCTCAACGTTCCGCAAGACTCAAACGCCCGACTACTTAAATAGGGCTGAATAATGATTAAGTAACGATATATATTTCATTGCGCTGCTTTTGAAATATTGTCCTATTTCACTGCATCTGGCACGTTGCCATGGTTTATATCACGTGCTGCCTCTCTCTCTCTTCTTTACAGCACGCACTGACTCTATAACTTTCACGTGAACTTCCATTTCTTCAGCATTAGCATCTTTGTAAATGGTTTTCGTTCTAACTATGAGATGCAACGGTTTGCGTGTCGAAACAACAATATTGAAGCGCTGTGATAACAGTACTAAAGCGCTAAGAAAATACTCAAGCGATCGATAACAATACTCGAGCGCTACGATAACAATACTCAAGCACTCGATAACAATACTCAAGCACTCGATAATAATACTCAAGCGCTAGATAACAGTACTCGAGTACTACGATAACAGTACTCAAGCACTCGATAACAATACTCAAGCACTCGAGAACAATACTCAAGCACTCGATAACAATACTCAAGCATTAGATAACAATACTCGAGCACTGCGATAACAGTACTCAAGCACTCGATAACAATACCCAAGCGCTAGATAACAATACTCGAGCACTACGATAACAGTACTCGAGCACTCGATAACAATACTCAAGTACTCGATAACAATACTGAAGCGCTAGATAACTCGAGCACTACGATAACAGTACTCAAGCGCTCGATAACAATACTCATGGGCTAGATAATAATTCTCGAGTGCTACGGCAAGCAAAATATATATATATATACCCAAATTTCGAATGTTTATATGAGCCTAAAAGCCGGCAAATCTTCTTTGTTAACATTTCATACAACAGATTAACTGTACATATACTGATGCATCATTTGAGATGCCCAAACTAGGCTACACCAACATTCAAATAATCATGACATCTACGACGTTGATGTCTTGCTGTTACACAATTTTCAACTCTAATTTCATGGAAAGCATTTGTGATCTGTTGCTTTAGTTCGTCAGTGGTTTTACGTTTATTTTTAAACATTCTCCAATATCATCTGAAATACAAATAAAACTTTTAGGATCGATATATAGAAGTTGCATAACTTAAAAGATAAGTGCATTTTTTTTATCCACCCTGTATGTATATAAGATTTTCCTTATGCTGTTATAATACCCTCGCTATATAAAGGGCACTTTTATAACTGATGATTCCGAGTGAAAACTTCGGTCAAGGGCACTTTCACAAATGATGATTCCGAGTGAAAACTTCGGTCAAGGGCACTTTCATAACTGATGATTCCGAGTGAAAACTTCGGTCAAGGGCACTTTCATAAATGATGATTCCGAGTGAAAACTTCGGTCAAGGGCACTTTCATAACTGATGATTCCGAGTGAAAACTTCGGTCAATAAGTAATAAAAACTCATTATATCACTAGAGAATAAACTTTGCTTCAATTGTATCACTAGCAAAACAACTATGTGATTCTACCCTTTAATTTATCATTAAAATGTAACTGTGTGACGTCAATTTGACGTGATCACAAAGAGACATGTCATGCGCCAGAAAGTAAAAAGAGAAAAATTTAACTTGGGTATTTTTACAAAATCCCATACTGCTTACACAACCATTACAAGAACGACGGCGGTCTGTTTTAGTGTCTGTTCTCACGACACAAAATCAAGCTTTTATCATAATAAATCTGATTTTCTTATAACAAACGTTTAGTGATATTTTCAGTGGCATTGATTAGAAATGATAGTACATCTGTGGTCTAGTTCTTAACAGTGAGTTAAATATATCTTGTAAGGAATTGTTCAAGGAATTCTAGATTAGCCAACATTGTTAAGTTCTTTCTCCGTGGGCCTGACATAGCCTGGAGATTAGGGCGATCGACTCAAAATCTGCGGATCGTGGGTTCGAATCCAGCCACCGAACATGCTTGCCTATTCACCTGTAGGGGAATTATATTTGTAACGGTCAATCCCACTTTCCGTTGGCAAAGAGTCGCTCAAGAGTTGGCGGTGAGTGGTGTGGACTATCTGCTCTCTCTCTGTTCTATCACTTCTGAATTAGGGACGGCTAGCGAAGGTAGTCCTCAAATACTTTTGCGCAAAATCCAACGAACAAACAGTTTCTAACAAGCTTTGAATTGTATAATGGTATATTTCTATAGGTGTAAGGTTTTGTCCGTTCGTAAGACCAGTGCATTAAGTAGCTACAAAATCCATTTAACAGTTTATTCGCACATGGAGAAGATAATATTTTAAAGATGAAGATAACAGTGGAAGATCTGACTGTCTATTCCATGAGATTGGGGAGAAAAAAAAGAGTTGGGATCTTCGATACGTTGTTTACAATTATTATCACGTAGAATCTAACAAGCACGCCAGCGTGTGCGTGTGATTTAAAACTCCAAGTTAATTGTTAAGTACCCGGTCAGAATTAATGAATAAATTATGGGCATTCAAAAGACCTGTTTCATTTTGTTTCCTTTCTTATTGAGACTAAATTTGAAACAACTGAACGTGACGCTATCAGCTGAGCACTGACAAAACCTTTTTTCTACTTCTTCTAGCTATTTTGTAATGATATAAAGGTGTACTGTTAATCTTACTGTAAGAATATGGTGTGATTACTAGCAGATGTGATGTACAGATCATGATGTCAGTGATGATATAAAGGTGTACTACTACTTATTAAAAATTGATTTGGGTAATTAAAAAATGGGTTTCCAACAGTTAAAAAATAAATTTTCTATTTTGGAAAGACAAATGTAGGAGAAGAAGTGTAAACTGGTTGTGTGATACACAGGAAAGAATAGTGTACAATGGTTGTGTAATTCACAGGAAAGAGTAGTGTACAATGGTTGTGTGATACACAGGAAAGAGTAGTGTACAATGTTTGTGTGTTACACAGGAAAGAGTAGTGTACAATGGTTGTGTGATACACAGGAAATAGTAGTGTACAATGGTTGTGTGTTACACAGGAAAGAGTAGTGTACAATGGTTGTGTGTTACACAGGAAATAGTAGTGTACAATGGTTGTGTGTTACACAGGAAAGAGTAGTGTACAATGGCTGTCTTCTGCATAGAAAGTAGGAGTATACAATCACTGCGTTCTGGGAAAGAGAGGTGTAAAATGGTTGTGCTACAAAGGAAAGGGAAGAGTAGAATGTCCGTGGCCTTCATAGAATAGCATTCTCTGCAACATAACGGTGTTGGTAATAGACACATAACGACTAAACAACCAGTAATAAAATGATTAGTGTTTATTTAAAATCTCACTCCAGTGATTTGTACAAAAGAGTATTAATGAAAATTCATTACTAGGTGAAATATAAATACAAGTAAGGCGCTTTGCTATTACGCTACTATATTAAAGAATCTAACAAAATTAACGTCCCTTTGTTAAAAAATCCAACAAAATTAACGTTCCTATGTTAAAAAATCTAACAAAATTAACGTTCCTTTGTTAAAAAATCTAACAAAATTAACGTTCCTATGTTAAAAATCTATAAAATTAACGTTCCTATGTTAAAAATTCTAACACAATTAACGTTCCTTTGTTAAAAAATCTTAACAAAACGAACGATCCAATATTATAAACAAGAAATTACTGCATTTAGAATAATACAGTAATAATAAGTTAACATAGCCTAAAACAGTATGTACAAGCAGAATAGAAACAGAAATGAGTATTCGTGTATATATATTTACACATACATTGTTGTTTAAGATACACAAAACTATTAAACCATCGTTCAATTTTCCATTGTTTTTATATCTACAAAAAGTTAATTTTCAACACGTATGTTTTTTTTTCAGCGCCTATACTTAAACTTCCTAAATATAATTAATTCATATACTCCTAAAGAGCTATGTATTAGCTAAGATCCTATCAGTTTCTCTCGTCCTTATATGTATGCATATACAATATCAAAGTTGTGTTAGGCTGTCTCGTATATCCACTGTGATCCGTATTTTACAACAATAATACACATATATGTTATGTACGAACTTATGTAAGATGTTTATGTTACAGCGACCATTTACAGACACGTCACGGTATCTGTTGGTTTTGGATTTGATATTTACTTCAGTAGTACTACATGGGGTGGACGGTACACAATAGTTGGAGATTTCACACTCCTCCTCGGTTTTCGCCTAATTTGATTGTTAAAAAATGTTGCCCATGAGTTCCAGGTCTTACTGTTCCACACCCACACTCCGGTGGCGATTCCCTGCAATAACGTCATAGCATGTTTTAACATGAAAACTTCCTCACTAGGGATGCTTTGGTCTAAGGAACAGCCTCCTGCTGTAGGATAAGAGCACTGGGGCGCAGTGTCCATGGCAACTGCATACCATCCGGGTCTATTGATGTACTCGTACACCTGACAGGCGATCACACTGATTGCTGGAACAGTATACAGTATAGAAAATGTACCAATTCTTACCATGTGTCTTTCTAACTTGTTGGTGTTCCGATCACCTTGTTTCATCACTCTTCGGATCCGCACAAGCGAAGAAAACCCTAAGATGATGAAGACACTTCCGAAGAAAAAGAAGAAACAAAGAGGAAAAATTACAAATCGGAGCAAGGCATCTCGACTTCTGCTGCCAACATTACATAGTCCAGTCAATTCCTCCCCTTCAACTTGTCGTAAAGTCAACACTATGATGGTCAATATTGCTGGCACCCCCCATGCCAGTACATGGAAATATGATGCACGAGATTCGATGGCCTCGTGTCCCCATTTGCGTCCGGCAGCCAAAAACCACGCGCAAGTCAAAACTAGCCACCAGAGGGCTGCTGCCATTCCAAAATAGTAGAGCAACAAGAAAACTATGATACATCCTGTACTCTCTAAGCCTTCTTTCACCAGGTAGCTGTCTCTTTCTGTTTTTTCGCAGGATATGAATTCAGCGCCTGCGAAGGAACGGACGAGATAAGCAATGCTTATATTACAGCAACACATGCTCAGAAAGATAATGGGCCGCTCGGGGTACCGAAAGCGAGCAGTATCGACCCAGAACGTGGCTACCGTCAAAAGAGTTGCCATGAAACAGAAGGCTGACCACACAATCATCCAAATGTCCACGACATTTTTGTCATGGCGAGAGAACAAAATGTCACGGTCACATCGAGGAACACACGTTTTCACGCTTGTGGTTTTGGATAGCACTGACACGAAGTTTCTAGGACAAAACTTCGCAGATAAATCACGTTCAATGTTCACGTTTTTGCCTCCGTAGCTGTATTCCTCTTTTCCCCCGTCGACGTCGGAGATACCGTCTTCGCGAGTTTTGGGATATAGGCGAGAAGGGAGTAGATTGGGATTAATACTTTTGTAATTGGTTTTACCTTTCTCAGCTTTAATGCCCTTTTCGCTTTCCTTATTGCGTGAGCGCCGTTCTTCTGTGATATCTGGCAGTTCCATACACAAACCGTTCTTTCCTGGTACGGGCAGTCGGCTACAGCTCAGCTTGGTAGGCCACCCAAACGCCAACCGCTCAAGAATGGGAAAACACCGTGCCTTAACTTCTTCGCAGACGGACCGACAGGACGGTATGGGAACATCTACTTGATGGGCACACATTGGAGCATAAAGTGAGCACAGAAAGAACTTTAAATGCTGAGAACAACCGAATTTGACCAGTGACACATACTCGTGGACTTCAATAGCAGCATCAGCCTGATTCGTGTGTCCCATCAGGTTCGGCATCCTAGTCATGTTGTAAGGAAGGTCTTGACATAGGGGAATGGTAATCCGTTCACACTTTTCGGGGTTTTTTAGGGCTGTCAAAGGCACCTGCCCATAAACGATGATGAAAAAAATCAAAACAGTAAGTAACATGGCAGATATCATAATTCAACCTGTTGGAGAAACGAAGCCTTCACAGTTGCACACAGTCGCATTTCGAAACTATAAAGTAGCACATTGTGTCGCTTCAAGAGGCTGCTGTCATTATTTTCCTTAAATATGTTCGCACGACTGACGACAAGATTTAACTTTTCAAAATTAGGGATGGCTTATAATCGTTAGTTTTGAAGACTTCTAAATGCAGTACGTTCCTCTGCTAACTTAAAACTATGTATTTTAAAACGAAAAATCACACATGTGCTTTCACGTGTTGTAGCTTTCGTTTACACGACCTCGATGTGCGTCTGTGACTAAACACTACAGAGAGCAAGTAGCGCCTTTATCTGATATATCATTCCGCATGGCCTTGGAACTGCGCGTGATTTGCGACGCCATACTTTTACGCAACGTCTACACTGCGCATGCTCACTTTTAAGCCTCTAAGTGAGTTTTTATCAGCGATTATAAAATGCCGTCAAAACAGATAACTTTTTCTTTTTAAGTCTCGATCACTAAGCGGATGTATACAGAAAAATCCATGAGCAAAACGAACACTGTGCTATCAGCTAGCTGGCGGTATCTTGACAAAGTGTTTGAACTTGCCGGCTCTGAGGGATTTGGTTGTATTTCTCTGTGCCAATCAAGGGCGGCTGGGGCCAGAGCAGCACTCCCATGATGGGGTCCTCCTTATACCGCAGGGCAATCTGTTTCGTTTATCAAGCCTCAGATGTGTAATTAGCAGAATTCGTGGCTACCAGCCCATAGCGTAATCCTGCCCCCGGACATCAGGGAAAGCGATTAGGTTAGCCAGATTCCCATGCGGCTGGCACCGGACCCTAAACTACACGCTTTATATATTTCTGGTTACGTTGCAAATATTTATTACAGTAATAGTGCAAAAAGGCGTCAAGTGTTGAAACTGTAAATGTAAATCGACAATTCAATATAGATTTTCTTACGAAACCTGTAAACTAAACTTTAAGACTTCCTTGCGTAATCTACAAATTAAACTTTAAGGTTTTCTCACGAAACCTATAATTTAAGCGTCAAAACGATTTATAAAACCTTTAAAGATAATTTCCTGAAGAAACCTGAAACTAAACATTAATTGTTTTTATTATGAAACCTACAAACTAAACTTTAAGATTACTTAGCGATATCTGCAGTTAAACATTAAAAATATTTCCTTGCGAAACCTACAAACTACAAACCAAAATTTAAGTTTTCACACACGAAGCTTTACTTTTTAAAAACTATATAGTATTAAAATATTGACTAACTATTGTTACTAGCATAACCTTGGTTAATAATATATAATTGATCAATACAAAAGTACTAACATATGTTTACGTATTATTGATAAAATGTGCTAAAGTTTATTAACAGAGCATTGGTTACTGGCACGACGTTGAAAATGAACAGAACGTCGTTAAAAAAAACAACAACAAGAAAGAAATATAATAATTAGGACATAATCATGGTTATGTGACCAATTAGTAACTTCGGATATAATGAAAATGATGTGCTTTTACCAACATTATTGATTACAAGCATTATGTTGGTTGTAAAGAGACTAGTTGTTACTAATATGATATAAAGTATCACATATAAAGTAGCTTCAGATATAGTGAAAATAATGTGCTTTTACCAACATTATTTATTACAAGCATTATGTTGGTTGTAAAGAGACTAGTTGTTACTAATATGATATTTTGCTATAAACTAGAGCATTTGAAATTAATGGGTTGTTGATTACTTTATAAACAGCACTAGAATATTGTATATAACACAAACATTTGGCTAAAATGCGACTTTCTAATATTGTGTCCGTTACTTACACAATATTTTATTAACACAAAAGTCTAAATTGTTAATGCAGACAAAACGTAATAACAGAATAATGATGAACAGAAACTATATGTTAATTCGATATATATTATATATAACTAAATATTGTATAGTTTGTTTATAATTAAGCAGAAAGCTACACAATGGGCTATCTGTGCTCTGCCCACCACGGGTATCGAAACCCGGATTCTAGCGTTTAAAGCCCACAGACATGCCGCTCACTAAATGACGCCTCCAGCGGTATTTCCAACGTTAAAAATCGAAATTCGCAACGTGCTGTAGGCAGAGCAAAGATAGTCTATTGTGGAGTTTTGTGCTTAACGACGAACAAATACTAACTGATAAGTTTCTGTAACTTGCCAGAAGATACGTACTTTTCTCAGCGTGACTGGCTCGCAGAGAACGTTCTCTAATTAGCCAGAAAATATGTATATAACTTTCTAGAACTAACCAGAAGATATGTTGTTGTTTTATATTAAGCACAAAGCCCACCACTGGTATCGAAACTCGGTTTCTAGCAGTATAAGTCCACAGATATTCCCTTGTGCCACTGGGAGGGGGGTGGCAGAAAATATGTACTTTCTCAGCTGATTGATACGGCACAAAGAAGTTTTACATGAAAAGCAATAGACATTTCTCCTTGGCGAAGCAGAATTTGCATCAAAAATATTATTATAAGTTGTCAAAAGTTTTAGATACTTTACAAAAAAAGAAGTTCTGTGCTTATTAAAGAACTGAAAATGATGAACAGGTAAATAAAGTAGATTGTTTAAAAATCAGAAAATTATCTTTTCTAAACTGTGCTACTTAGAAATTCATGGTAAATCACCGCAAGCTGGTTTCATAAATCATTTTAAACGGGCTGATGATTCACATAGTTTGTTACTTAGTGTGTCTCAACTTCTGAAACTACGATCACGTTTAGCCTATTATCTGCCCTGGAATTAATGGGAGGGTATGTCGTTATCGTGCCCAAGATTAATGGCCAAGAAAAATAGCCTTACTCTATTATGCCTCCCCCTACTAGGTTGTAAAGCCACTTCCCAGATGCAGCCGGTCAGTGCTTCCTGACAAATACATTCCTCGTAGGAAGAGTACTTATTCACTAAAACTATCGCTCGTACACAAGATTAAGGGGGGGGGGGGGTCTATCGATAAATTTAAAACTATTCATTATCTTATTATAAAATAGTCTTAATTTTCATATCTTGTTTGAGTGGATGCGAAACAATAAAAGTTTTAAACAACTTGTTGTTTCGTAAAAATTATTTGCCATCTCAGCAGCAAACATTACGTTCCAAACTCATGCATGACACGACGGTCCCTAGGGCGGTTAAATTCAGTCCGAGGGAGAGAAAGACTCCGTGGGTGACTGCATTAATAACGCTTACCTGACTCGGAGAACACTTGGAAACAGGGCAGCGGTCTTGTTGCGCGGTTGTAAAAGGTAATGAGTTACCCTCCGGCTACAAACAGTCGTCAGCGTTGTGCAGAGCTGCGATACCCCTCCCCATTTTGAGTTAGGATAGACCAGACTCAGCTCTTACTACGCATACTTTCTGAACAAGTTCTGCAAGGCTATATCAAAGAAATGAGCTGGTTTCACAGATACTGTATAAGCATTTCAATAGATACTGTACACTAATCCCTTCATAATCTTGAACAATGTACCTCATAGCTTTACTTCTTACAGCATTCATGTGGTAAACGTAATAACTCTCAAAATGGTAATATAGAAGTAAATGCTTGTGGTAAAATCAGAAGGTACAATCTCGCATATAATAACATAGACTTTTTTAATTTCGGGTAATTATTATTATTAGAATGCCGTTATTGAGTTAACCGTATTCTGTTCACGATACAACTAAAAGTAAAACATTTAAAATTAAACCGTGTCTTGCAGTATTATTATTAGAATGCTATTGGTGAAGTAAACATATCCTGTTGATGGTATGAATAACTCATTTTATAATGTAGATTTATATTGTGTCATACGGGATTATTATTAGAATGCTATTTTTAAGGTAGTCATATCCTGTTGAAGATACAATTAAAACTTTTTATAATGTAGATTTTATGCCATACAATGTTGTTAGAATGCTATTTTTCAGGTAGTCATATCTTGTTGAAGACACAATTAAAACATTTTTTAATGTAGATTTTGTGCCATACAATGTTGTTAGAATGCTATTTTTCAGTTAATCATATCTTGTTGAAGATACAATTAAAACATTTTATAATGTAGATTTATATTGTGCCATACAATATTATTAGTGATATCATTAAAATGAAACTTTAAAAACAATGTAGTAACAACTCTGTTCTCTTCAGTTCTACAAAAGTATTAGAATAGTTGATAATAGCATCATTTATTTCATCAAAATCCCTGTAAACTTCATATCCCAATGTCATAATATTTTAAGAGTAAATTGTAATATTTTATAAGTACAGTCTCAGTACTTTTGATAATAATTTGGACAGCGAAAGATTATTTTAATTTTTACACAAGTTGAGTGTTGATAAACGTATTGCTCAGTAACACATACTTAAATACACTGGCCAACTAATAACATCTCCAACCCACCCTGGGTCGCTCTATTACTATTGTGTTCACATTCTCACTTAGAGCTTAAAAAGAGACACCTTCGTATTTTGCTTGCTTGTGATCTATGTAACACGACAATAATCAAATAAAATATGCATTATAAAACAGGAAAAATACCTTTTACACCTGTAATAAGCATAGAATTTACATAATAAATAAGCACAAGAATAGTAATTGCTTGTTTGTTTCTTTTAGACCAAAGCCACATTGGACTATCCCTGTGTCCACCGCGGGAATCTAACCCCGGATCTTAGCGTTGTAAGTGTGTAAACTTACTGCTGTCTTACCAGGGTACTAAGAGTAGGGGTTTTCTACAGCAATGCTTCCCAAAGTGGAAGCCGCGCCCCCCCTCCTGGGGGGCCGTGAAGTTTGTTCTTGGGGGGGGCCACCAAAAATGGGCCGATAACAAAGATGCTTAATTGATTTTAATTCAAAATAAAGAACAAGACGATAAAAATTATGCTGAATTAATTACAGAATTGTTTCATAGTTTAAAATGAAAATAAGATAACCTTACATAATATTAAGTGTGTATTTAATTGCTCATCAGTCTACAAATTTAATCCAAACATAATAAATTGCTAATGGTCTAATTATAATACATATAAATTGATAAGAAAAGGCCACATTAAATTACAAACATACGATTTAATAGAAACAATACTTCATAGATATCATTAAAGTTCATTAACAAATATTTTTTGAAATTGATATATCACATTTTAAGGCTTTTTATAGGTTGGGGGGGGGGCTCAAACTTTTTTATTCACATCAAGGGAGCCTCAGACTAAAAGTTTGGGGATCACTGTTATACAGCATCATGGCTGCTGTGATGCTGTATAACGGAAGAAGCAACACGAAAAACGTTCCACTTTTCTGGAAGTACAACAATTTTGTTTTTAAGAGGTAGCTGAATTACTAAGAATTAGAACATTTAGATACAAATTAAAAACACTTAGAACATATCCATAAACCAAATGGATATGAATCATACTCACAAAATAACATGGAGTTATACACTACTTTTGCAAATACTCCACCACCACCCCAAGACATTTATTCTCAAAGCATGGTTATATATACATGTATAGGGTATTTAATGAATTTCAAAATCAACACGAGAATAACTCTAAGTAAAAGGAAATTGTAGCATCGTCAGTGGCCTATTTTAGAAATTATCATTTTAGTGTGAGAATGGAATTGAAAT